GTTATGAGTGGTGCTAGAAGGACCCAAAAACGAGACAAGTCCATGAGAAAGCTGATGTGGTTATTAAAGAGAAAGAAAATATGAATCATAATGAGTTAGAAGATATTGTTATAGAGCAAATGCAATGGTATTTTAGGAACTAAGTCATCTCTTCCAACAAATATGCAAACTAAGATTTCCCCAAATTCAATATTCATCTAACCTTTGTGCTCACACAAAGGCTGAATTGCGATCTACCCACGTGCAACAAAGAAACTTAGTATGCTCATGCCACCGACGATGTCGCGGTTCACAATCATTCTACATCATAAAAACCTCAGCATTCCCTTTAAAATCATCGTGTTGCTCTAGTTAATATCATGAATTCCATCAAAGCTTATGTACATCTCCTGATCACAAGGTTTTAGAAATCGTTTACAGTGGAAGAAGAAATCATCAAGAAGCAAAAAACTAAGTACGTAAAATCCCTATCTTTAATTGATTCTCAAAAGGATTTCATCATTGCGAAAATTATTATTCATATGCTGGATTGTGCAATCCGGTCAAAAATTCTATCTTTATCAATGTTTTAAAAAGCCTCTGCCTAGCCAGTCTAGGCTTACGTAGTACATTGACTGCCTACCTAGCGTCTAGACGGTACCTAGTTTGTCCACCTATATTTTGGGAGTGCTTAGGGAAGCGTGATCTGTCTACATGGACTGCACCATTTAGGTATTGAGCATGATTTCCTCCATTGTATCCTCCAACCTCCTTGAACCCCAACTATGAACACCTCCTCTACCTCTCCTGACCTTGAACAAAGCATCCTCCACCACTTAAGAAGTCCGCTTAGGTTTCAGTCCAGCGTCTAAGCTTTCTATAACATTGGCATTTACTATTAGTAATTATGATAACTAAAAAAATAGAAAAATGCCTAGGCCCTGCTTAGGTTTCCGCCTAGACGCCTAATCTTTAGGCATCGAGTCCAACGCTTAGGCCGCCTAACGCTTTCTGTGACCCTGATCTTTATCATTATACAAAGAAGTAAGCTGAGTTATGAAACTAAGATCGATTTATTATTCATAAAAATAAACAGAATGTTGCTTTTGTTTTATTGTTAGATTTATTATATAGATTAGTATAGTCCCTATTGTCTTCAAATATGGTCATTATTATCACAAGCATACACAATAATAATCACAGTGATAAATATGTGAGTGCAATGATAATAACAGTACTGATACACCATATGCTATCTTTTCTTTTCTTATAAAACATTCTATGCTTGACCCTTTATAGAATTCTTTTCCCATTATTACAAGTCAAATTAAAGATAGAAATAAACAAATCAAGCCATAAATCTATTCTACTAGCTTCAATCTCTATCATCTTTTCTTTGTTGCTTGATCACGTGCCAAAAGTACTTGAAATGAAATTGACCTAGAGTTCAGCTATTAAATAAATCAAACCCTAAAATTGTAGAGCGTAGAGCCTCCACCTAAACAATTCAAACGCCAAGAGGGCTAACACTGATCCTAGTCATGTTCATAATTCACATGAGCATCAACTGATTTTTAAAGTGTGACAAAGATGTTTAGATTGGCCCTATCAATGTATTGTCTTAATCAAAGATCATTTACTGCATGTGCGGATGTTAACCTCTTTTCAAATAATTAGTGAGGAGGGCACATGCATTCACATGCCTGCTCCATGTAGTTGCTGCGCATAATTGAAGAGGTATATATGACAAGAAAAATATGCAAATGAGGATAGATATAGGTGGAGGAAATATACAAAATGTTTGATGTAGCTCTTGCCTTGAGATGTAGCTCTTGCCTTGTACATGGAGTTTCAATTGAGCTTCAATGTAAATTCAATTGGATGAATACACGACTACACCACTGCTTACTATGTTGGCTGCATTGTACATATGTCAAACAAAATATATTGTGTGTAGCTATGATCACAAACAAATGCAGTTAGAGCAAGAGCTTTTTCTTATAACCACAAACTTATACTTTTATACCCCCATTTATTTTAAACCCACACACTTCTGAAATCACTCTTAAACCGAAAATACAATCTTAAACTATTTTTAAACTCCACTATGTTTATTTCAGTAGTTTGATATACTATATTAATTTGAAGATTTATTGTAAGTTGTTAATATTTTTTCTTTAAGTAGCTATATTTTTATATTTTTTGCCCCTAAATTGCTATATTTTGCTATAGACTGAACTCCTGAAATATAAATAGTGTAAAAATGATTCAGTAGAGTCTTCTAGGTTTAATCATTCCGGTGTTAGGGCTATAAGTAGTAGTTAGAGAGATTAATTTGAAATAAGTTAGAAGAATTGATGGACCTAATAGCATTTGCAATGATTTCAGGGACTAATTTTAAAGTATGAAAGATTTGGGGTACCAATATCGAAGAAAAACTATAAGATCAAATGACTACAATAGGATACATGTAATTCACATAAAAGGCTAGGAAAAGGGGAAAAATGATTTGACATAAAAAAGCTAGTCCCACTTGCATAACTTTCCTTGCACCCCGTGAACCTTGTGGTTGTGTAGAGGAAATTCTTTTTGATATTGAAGCAAGAAATGTGTTCTGTAAGGGAGAGAGTTGAAGATAAGGTCAGCTAGTGGGAAATGTTGAACCCATTTGGGGGATTTTGTGAAACTTATTAAAAACAAATAAAGGATGTACTTTGATATTGGGCCGACCAGCTATTACTTGTGGGCCCATGTGCCCACAACTATAAGGTATTAGTATCAAATGGGTGGGGGCGATATGGTCTTAAAGAGAAAATCTTACGCAAAATATCTTCCATAAGGTTTCTAGATAAGCTAAAGGGCATCAGTGACAATTCACTAGTTTAGTAGGAGGCCCCAAACAAAAATACTGTAGCAGTAGATTCTTTTTATATAGAGAGAAACAATTGTTTGATTTGTTGGATATATCTAGAACTAATGAATTGCATGTTGGGTTCTCCTCAAATCTCAAGAATATGGATGCATGGTGTTAACCATGGAAGCTTCAAGGGTGCAGGCATAGCAAGTCTGAAGGTTTATCTTGGAATTTTCCATGAGCAATTATACAAATTGTTCTCTCTTGGAAATTGCCTAAGGAGGAAGCCTGTAAAAGGGCCTATGGCTGGTTGAAAGATGTAACAGAGACTAGAAGAGATATAGAGTGGGATTTTAAGTGATGTGTGGAGTGAGCATTTTGAATTTTCAGACGAGCAGTAAGTTCTATTCTTGATCGATGGGCAAACAATATCGGATCAAGATGAAACTTTAGATTGTTGTTTGTGACACGTTTGTGCTCATATTCGACAATTGGTTTTTCTACCCAACTCATCTATAGCTCTCCGTTATCCACCCTAATCCAGTGTGTGCTGAGGGTGATGTAAGATGATAAGTGGTGAAATCCTCTTGGAGCTTTTGAGTGATAGATGTTCTTGGGTACCTTGAGTGATGTGAGATGTGAAAGGATTTGCAAGTTTGTCCATGCAAAACTTGTCAGTTGTACTGGTTTGTGAAGTCAGTGTATTTCCCTGCTGACGAACTGTAAAGGTAGGCATGTTTGGGCGAACAACATAAAAATACTTTGTGCTCTCTTGTTGCTTGTGCTCCTTACTGTGTGGTGCTTGTCTGTGTGCTCGATAATTCCCAACATTGCCATAATATGCTTTTCATGGGTAAATGTATGGGGCGTAGTTTTCTAACTTCCAAGGTGGTTTAGCTGATCTTTCTAGCTCTAGGTAGTGGATTGAATCATTTTGGAGTGGTCTCCGTTTCACCTCTGTTCTTTTTTATAGTATAGTAGTAGTTAACTTCCAGTTACGATGAAATTGGAATTTATCAATTGCTTACCACTCAATAGTGGATTTGGACCAAATAGAAAAAGTCAAAATTTTGAGATTTGGCAACGCTGAACTTTTCAGCCCCTTAGGCAAAGTCATGTTGTTTGAGTGTGAAAATGTTTTGAGCAAATATCTATAAAGTTAACAAGGTAGGCACTAAATTTGGTCGCACTTTTAGATGAGAGATTACCATTACTTGGCATTATATTCAAGGTCGAGGCCAGCTTGTTTAACTAGTAGATCTCATGCAACTTGAATGGTTGACAACTGAATCTCCTTCAAGCTCAATTTGGATCAACTGAATCTTGATTTGGACCAAATCGAAAAAGTTAATTTTTTGCGACCCGACTATGTGAACTTTGCAGCCCCTTATGCAAAGTCATGTTGTTTGAGCGTGAATATGTTTTGAGCAAAAATTAATAAACTTTAACAAGTAAGGCAGGCACTAAATTTGATTCCACTTTGAGATGAGATATTACCATTAATTTTCAGTATCTTCAAGGTCGAGGTCAGCTTGTTTCAGTAACTAGTAGATCTCATGCAACTTGCATGGCTGCCAATTGAATCCCTTCAAGCTCAGTCCAGATCTTGTGCTCAAGCTATGTAGCTTGAGTTAACTCTTGCTTTATTTTTCTGATAGGTTGTTAGAATGGGTATATAAATTTCCTCTGCCTCTGTCGATCTGGAATGTATCTGTTGGTTCCCCATAAAACCGATTAAGGATCTATAACGTTTTACCTACTAGAGTTTAACTTAAAATGAAACATCCAATCTAAACAATACATCATATCAGGCTAAATGATTATAATTGGTCATTTGGACTTAGACTCTTAAAAAGGTTCCTAGATTCTACAAATACTTCATTGTCAAGCTAAGTCTACATGACACTTAGGCAACTTACATGACGCATTACTATGGCCAAATGGAAGCATCAAAGTGAAAAACCAGTTATTGGATGATCTTCTTGAGGCAACTATATATGGTTTACAATATGATATCTGATATTGAGTCAATTGACGATGGAAACTTGCTGTCATTAGTTATGCACAAACGTATTCTTGATTCTCTTTATGATTCGGTACAAAAAATAATAATAACTCATTTTAACCTACAAAAAATAATAACAACTCATTTTAACCCATATTTCAGGTTGGAGAGATTGGGAGCTCTTAAATGGGACAAAGTAGTCTATCAACATCAAGGATGGAGGCTTATTACATGTATCTGGTTGCATGCAGGAGTCATACATCTGATAGCAAATATGCTAAGCTTGGTTTTCATTGGAATCCGTCTTGAGCAACAATTTGGGTTTAGTAAGCTCTGTTTCTCGTTAATAAAGTTTATATACCACTGTATTTGATTTAAGCCCATTTGGTACTTATTTATTGAAGGAAATTAAGTGGCATTTATCATAGCATTTCGGTGGTATTTTTAGTCTCACTGAATTTGACCTGGTTTCTAGATCACATGCATATATTATCTGTAGTTTCTTCTTTCTACTAGTCTTATTGTTCTTTATCTTTGCAGTTCGGATTGGCTTAATATACCTTATTGCTGGATTCGGTGGAAGTGTCCTTTCATCTCTGTTTATAAGGAACAGTATTTCTGTTGGTGCCTCAGGTGCATTGTTCGGACTTCTTGGAGCAATGTTGTCTGAACTCTTTACAAACTGGACAATCTATACCAACAAGGTAAATGTTATCCTTTTCGTTCTTTCTCCTTAATAATTTTCAGTTTCTTACTAGCAAGTTTAATCATGTGTCTAATTAGATTCATTGATCTTTTTCTATAGGCTGCAGCAATACTGACTCTTTTAATCATCATTGTGATCAACTTGGCTATTGGAATATTGCCACATGTTGACAACTTTGCACATATTGGAGGGTTCTTAACAGGACTCCTCCTAGGCTTTGTTTTGTTGATGAGACCACAATTTGGTTGGATTGAACGGAGATACCTTCCTCAGGCAAGTCAGGTTAATTCAAAGTACAAAGCACACCAGTATGTCCTGTTCATATTTGCGCTTCTGCTGCTGATAGTTGGGTAAGAAGCTATTCTCTTAAAACATTCCCTGTTTGTTCACAATCCTGAAGTTAATCAGTATAGCTTTCATGCAGAATATATGGGTTTCATTGCTTGCTGATTTCCAATGCAATGCACTCTCACCATGTATTCCTTCTATCATGGGCTACAACCATGCAATCAGTCTTTTAGAGTCCATTTATAGCTCAATTTTGTTATTGTATCTTTCCAGTGTAAGGTGGTCTTGCTGGCATCATCTCTACTACAGTTAAGTAGTCAGCACTCTTGCTGGTTCGATTAGAGAAGCCCTTTATTTTAAATGCCTGACCACTGGTTTTAGAACTGATATTGAGACACACACATGATGTACATTTAATATGTATATGTATATATAGATATATATGCATGCATACATACATACATATATACACATGATGCAACATTAGGCACTTCTAGTCGCCAGACCAAGCGCTAGCATCTTAGCTGGGAAGATGCTGGGCACTTAAGTCGCATGGAAGCGTTTTTAGTATCGAGAGAGAAAGAATTCTTTTCGAAGAATCAAAATTCCATCCTTGCCATTAACTTAAGATAGGCTTGGATAAGAGTTTTCATCTTATCCTCGCCATTAACTTAAGATGGGCTTGGATAAGAGTTTTTCATCTTATCCATTTTAACTTGGCCCATTCCCTTGAGTGCGGTGTAGTCCGTGTGAGCAGCCATACTCCTCTAGGAACTCCCCAGACTTAGGTAGGCAGCCTAAGTGCCGCTTAGGCCTAGGCGGGCACCTAGGCGAGTGCCTAAACCGTTTTTTAAAACAATAATGTGTCATGTAATATGTACGTACATGATATTCTGTTTCTCCAAGATATCTTTATACTAAATTCATCTCTCTTAAAATGTAAATGCAAAATGTAAAATGTAAATGCAAAATGTAAAATGTAAATGCAAAACGGCCTAAGAAAATGTTCATGCAAAACAAAGAATAAAATAAAAGCGACCCCTGTCTTTTATACATAAAAACTAATACATCCATAGTATTCATTATTACATGACTTGTTACATAATCCCCTCAGTATATCCAAAGGCAACCAAGCACAATAGTGATTGCAACGTCTCAATCCATGTTCACATGCAATACATGAATCATATTCACCATGCATAACGTCTCTAGCTTCGGCTATTATCGATGTAATACAAGCAATCGGTTTACCTGACTGAGCAAGTGTGGCTGTAGCGAGAGAGGACTGAGTCTTCTAAAATTGTTGAAATAGCTAAAATTGCTCAAATTGACGTTGGGTGTCATCATCTAAAGGACTATCTTGTGCAGCCACATGCCCTTAGAAATGCAAACTTGAGGAGTGGGCATAAAACTCTTTAACATATGTCACCATCATTAATTCCTTGAATTGTTATTTGTCTATTAGAGCCAAAGATATCATAAAAATATTATGTCATCCCTCAAGTTTGCATTTCATATTCCATCCCGAATGCTGCACTTTTTCAGTTCTTTGATGGAGGTAGTATATTTTGTTAATAAAGGTTGGACATGCATTGAGTTTCTTTCTTGGAAGGTGTCGCTCTTCTAATTTGCATTGTTTCATTTTATCTCGCAATGAAATGGGGTGGAATAACTTCACCTGTTTCCAAAAAAAGGTATATAAGGGGTGATACAGTGCCAAGGGGGACTTCATGTCATAAAGTTTTATAAGAAACAATTTTCAAGATATCGAGACATATGTGGGATTACAGACTCACAACAATTTCTTATATCCACTTGCCTCGAAGTAACAATAAATTTCATTACTCTTAACAACCTTATGCCTTTATTAACTAAATGATTTTAAGAAGTATTAGGGCAAATAACTTCATCAGGCTAGGTTGAAAATTCCACTGAATTATCATGTGGATATGCATTTTCAGGCTTTGTGACAGTGTATATGTACACATGCACGTGCACTCGCGCGTGCGCGCGCACACACACGTCCATTTCTACATACACGTGTGCAGGGGCGGATGCTGGTTCATGGGTTAGGGTGTACAGTTGCACCCCAACAAATTTACAAATTGCATATAAAGTCATTGTAATATTTATGATTGCCCCCCACCCCCCACGCCCCACCCAAAAAAAAAAATGCACACCAATCTATCGAAAACCACTGAATAAGTTAGTAGAAATTGAATTAGCCCCTTCAAGGTGTACCAACTGTTAAGTGTATTCCATTAGGTACTATAGTTTAATAATATTATATTTTATTTTTTGATAAATAAATACTTGTCGACCCCCCCCCAAAAAAAAACAGCGCGCGCAAACCAAAACTCAACAAAAAAAGGAATTTGTTGTGGATCCGGTCACTGTGTGTGTGGACAACTATGAACTGTTTAGATCAAAATTACTGATGAACCAACATGTATTTCCATAGCTAGGTGTAAACATCTTATTTGTGCCCTATATGTATAATACAAACCTCATAGTCATGAATAAAATTCAAATATGTAAGTCATGAAGACTAATATATTAGAGAATATGAGCAGCATCTATCAGTCTCCAAAATATAGGTGATACCTGTTCAGGCTAGCGTCTTGGGAGAATTCTCTAGCACAATCAAGATGATTACAACTGGTTTAACTGATACATTTTGCATTTGTTCAAAATTTTGACACATTACCATGTTATAATATCCTGTGCAAACACAAGTAGTCAGTGTTTTCTTTTTTTGGCAGATTTGCTGTTGGTTTGGTAATGCTATTTCGAGGAGAGAATGGGTATGATCATTGCCACTGGTGTCATTATCTTAGTTGTGTACCCACCTCAAGTTGGAGTTGCGGAACCTAAAGAGTTCTCTGAACTTCTTGTCGGACATGAAAGAGAGAGTATCAATGTGTTTCCTCGAGTACTTTTAGAATGTTGTTGTGCTTTAGTTATTTGTTGTTAATTTAAATTCACTTGTAAATATGTAGGTATGTCAATTTTTTTTTTGTGTTATAAGTCAGCTGAGGCATTTGTATTACTGGAAAGCATTCTTTTATATGTTTATATATGTTGCGTTGCCCATTTTTTTTCCTTTTCTGTCACATGGTAAAAGATTTGCCGTGTCAAGGTGCATAAATTGCTCAAGAATGTATCCATTTGTCTTCACAATTGCAAATGAAAGCCTTAAGCCCTGAAAAACAAGATAGCAGTCACCGAATGAGTGGAGGATTTGCTTGGGATCGTTGTTGATGTATTATGCTTAGTTCCTGTATATAGTTAACATGAGCTGTGCTAGGCATTGTGCATTGCATTATTCCTCAAATTTCCCCTCCATCTTCTTCCATGTTCTCTTCCCTTCTTCCATATTGTTGGGGTCAGTTCTTGTCGACAACAATTCAGGCACGGAGTTTGCGCGATTATGTAATGCCCATTTACTTTGGAAAGGAAATATAGATTTATTCTAGGGCTATACTACAATGAGTACAACTGAATGCTGATTTTCTTGGCAACCTGCAATTGATTTTCACATTAGCATGTCAAAAAAAGAAAAAGGAGAAAAAAAGAAAGGAAAAAGAAAAAGGCTGAGCTGATCACGCTGCATTGACCGCAAAACTTTGCTAAGTCATTGAGCTCATCACGCTGAATTGACCGCAAAACTTTTCTAAGTCATTCAACTCAAATGAACCTGCACAAACCCAACGTGACTTAACAAGATCACCCTTCTCTCCACAAATTTATAACACAAACTGCTACATTCTAATCAACCAAGGTCCGAAGAGCCCAAAATGTCTTGTATAAATCCAATGAAACTCTCAGCCAACGCCGGTGTAGTTCTTGCACTATGGTGCATGATAACGCTAACCGCGGGGTCCATTGACTGCACTACGGTCTCATCCCTAACCGCGAGGTGCATGGATTTTGTAGTCTACGGTGGCATGGCCCCAGGCCTGGGCTCACCGTGCTGTAGCGGGCTAGTGGGCCTCTACAACGTGGCGGCGACCTCAGTTGACGAGAGACGAATTGTTTGCAACTGTTTAATGGGCCTTATAACTGCCAACAACTCAAATGCAAGCGATATAGCTCGGTTGCCTGGTCTTTGTGGCATCTCTCTTGGTTTCACTATTGATCCCAACACTTCCTGCAATAGGTAATCTTAAGGTTTCTCTAGGGACTTATGATCCATTGTAGCAGATTATCATTCATCAACTATTTTACTAGTACTTACCATACCGCAATTCATTAGAAATCGGATTCTGCGATTTATTTTTCTCAAAATGCACATGCTAGTAAAAATAGTTGAGAGGTAGTAAAACCTACTGAACGTGTAGGTGAGCAGGGTTATCGGCAATTTACCCTATTTTGGTTAACTAACGCCTACTGTGTGTATCAGATCTTTGTACCGTTGCACGTCAACTCACTTTCATCTCTGCTCTCTCGCCCCCCTAGGAGTCATAAAGGAGCAAATTGATTAACTAAAACACCAAATGGGAAGAGGAGCTAGAGTGTGTTACCTCAAACATACACATTAAGCTTAGTTACTTAAGAAGAATGATTTAGTAAAAATAAGCAAAGTGAAAACTATATAAAGAGCCTATAAAATTATTCATATTTGGAGCTCTGAGGATCCATATCGAAATCTACAATTGAATATGGTTTGAGTATCCAAATATGAATCTCCCATCGAGATAGGATCAAGTTACAGGGTTATCAGAACCCGTTGGCAACCCTAGAATACAGTTAAAGATGAGTCTAAATTAGAATTACAACATGTCCATTCAAGATGCATGTTAGATTTTGATCTAGCTAAGTAAAATATAAAGCTTATTTGGATGTAGTTTAGTGCTCTCATCAACAGAGTGATCCTTAGATCCTCATTAACATCTGGAGGGTTGTTTTGGATGCAGCATTTCTTGAACATGATTCAAGACTCATAGACTTCAGGAGATTTATCATTGTAGATTATGACATCCAAGCAGACAAAGACGGCAAAGAAATAAATTGTTCTCAATGTTCGCCAACTCAACTATTATGGTCTACAGAGGAGGAAATATGTAACCGCTACACTTTCCCTGTGGGAAAACAAACTAGTTGGTGAATTCCAACTTATCTTCATGTAATGCTGAAATCATATATAATGTGCTTAGTAATTACTTGCAGAATTCTCTTGTGCTACTTTTAGCTACACGTGCACAAATGGGTGATGATGAACAAAAACACAGCTATCCATCTGTCCGTCCAAAACTTCAAGAAAAATACTCATAATCACTTGATTCTCGTCATACTAAGAAATGCATCAACATAGTTCAACACAGAGGTAAAGAAAAAAAATTTTAAGCTGTACTTTTTTCTCATCGCAAGCGCTGCTACTGGTTCATCATACTCAGATAGTTATCCATCCTAGTCCAACTGAAGAGAGAGTAAAAACACATTTGAGCATCTGAAACAACTCACTTAGTGATTCCCCTTTTACAAATGAAACGGTATTTTGTTCTTGGAATCGACTTGTAATTAATCATCTTCGTACAGGGAGATTGCTTTAACTAAACATCTAAAGCAACTTACGTATGGTACAAAACAAAACCTCTCCAACTACTTCACATTCTTAATCTATGTATGCTATAAAAACCAGCTTGGAGATGGAGACAGATATCTACTCGGTTATGTAAATCAATGTAGAAATCTACGGTAAAAATGAAAATAGCCTGTAACTGTACAGGTAATTTTATCCACAAGCTCAGAGTCGTATATAACTCCTGGAAAAAATGGAAAAGATTTCATCAACTTCAAATTCTGCTCCCATTTCAAAATTTCCTAGAACTCTGATTGTACTCACGTTTGATGAGACTGGCCATGTTTGATCAGTCTGTCTCTAAGCAACATTGCCTTCACATCTTGATCAGACTGTTGGGGATTCGAAATAATCAAATCGAACCTGTGCCCTTCCGGACCTTGTGTTTGAGAGTAGGAAAGTAGGAAAATCACCGAAAGTAAAATATAAAACTTGTAGGAAAGTAAACAAGAAAGAACACACCAGATTTAACGAGGTTCGGCAACATGCTAAGTCCTCGGGAGCCACACAACACAAGTTTTTGATTAATTTGATTAAAGATTACAAGCTCACAAACTAGGATTTAATCTCTCTGAAGAATCCTATTAAAAACTCTCCTTTTAATGCACACAAAACCCTAAAATCGTTTAGGCATATATAGGAATCCCAACCAAACAGAATACAAAACAGATTAGGAAACAGAAAAATCCCGTCGCGGTCGACCGAGCTTGGTCCTGCGGTCGACCAACCAGAGCATTGATTTTGCACCTTGCACGGTGCACGTTCGCGATCGATCGGACCAGCTACCGCGGTCGATCGGTCAGAGAGACTGTTTCTGCTCAGTCTGCTATAGGCTTAGCGGTCGACCGGACCAGACCTAGCGGTCGACCGACCCGACTGTTTCCTATTTTTCTTCGTCTTCTTGATTCCAGCTTTGGGGCTATACACTTAGACTAACAATCTCCCACTTGGAGACCAAAGCACTATCAACGAGCTCACCCGAACTCTCCCCTTCTTCGCAAGCATCTCCTCCTTCCCGAAAAAATCCTTTCTTCAATCATCATCTTCCCGGTGATCCCGCCGATCCTCCTGGTGTGGCTCCGGCTTTATCTCCTACACGTGAAGGCCAACTGAAGTTGCGCACAACTCCAGTTTCTCGATGATCACTGCTTTCGTTAACATATCCGCAGGATTTTGACTCCCCAAAATCTTCTCTAGTTGTAACTTTCATTCCTCAATCAGCGAGCGTATGAAATGGTATCGTACGTTGATGTGCTTCTGATAATCATATTTTATTACAATTTTATACCCTCATTATCTATTTTATATGAATAAATATACCACTAATAATTGTTTTTATCTTTTAATTGCAGGTTAATGAAGAATAAATCTCAAACTCTCATTTCTCAACAAAAACCCATTGATTAAATGAAGAAATGAAGCAAAGAAGCACATTGGAAAATCAATTTCCAAATTATCCAAAAGCCCAGAATCAAGTCGTGTAGCCTGTAGAAGCCGGAGAAAATCAAAAATCCAATATGAAAAGAAATCATATTCAAAATGGTTGGCCACAAAGAAACGACCATATCTCCTAATCCGGAAGGCGGAATTTAACATATAATATATGAAAATCGCCTATCTCGACGAGACAAAGCTATCCGTGAAATCAGAATTTGGAAATGTAAACTCCTTTTGGAGAGGAGGGCTACTCTTAATTGAGAAGGCCTTCCAAAATTGTAACTTTAGTTGCAATTAATAATAATAATTTTTTCACCACTTTAAATATTTCTTCTCTTTGTTGGATGATGAAGATGGAGATGAAGAATTATTTAGAGGTTTGCATTTTCTTTCCTTTTTCTCTTTTATTTCCTTTTTATTGCTTATTAGTGTAGATTTATTTCTATGCTTGTAGTTTAGATTTTATTTTCTTGTTAAATAGCCAAGAGGCTAGAACCCTCTTGCCTTAGATTTATTTCATGCTTATAGAGTAGATTTATTTTCTTGCATTTAATTCTTGCAATTTTATTTTGTAGTTTAGATTTTGCACTTTATTTTGTAGTTAGATTTTAATTTCTTATACTATTCACCTTGAGGCTAGAACCCTCTTGGGTTTAGTTTTTCTTTTTGTTTATTTTTATTTTGTTTGATTCGCCTTTAGGCTAGAACCCTCTAGGGAATCATCCTTTTCTAAGAAGTGTGTTCAATTTTAGATTACCCATATCTATAATTGAATCCATCATCTTTAATTTCTTGCATTTTCATTTATTCTAGAATTTTGTTCTTCATTCTTGAATTTTTATTTGTTTCTTGATTTTATTCATTTTTCCTTCTCACCTTATTGTTCATACTCACTCTCATTTACACTTTACACCTATTTACACACCACTTTCACTCTCTCAATCTCTTCATAATCACATTCACTCATCAATCTTATTTGTCACACACACAACATAAGAACCGATTTCATATTTTCTCCTACTAAACACCTTCCTCGTGGGATCGATATCTTAAATACTATAACTTGACACGGTTGTGCACTTGCAACCTTTTTGATACATGTTTATGCCGCATCAGCTTCATTCTGACATGATATACAGGATTCTTGGTAAGGTGTATAGCGTTCTGGATATCACAATAAAGAACTTCGTTCTCCCACTTCAGATCCAACTCTTCCAGGCACCCGGTTTACCAAATCATCTCCTTGCTAGTTTCAGACACTACGACATACTCTGCCTTAGTTGTGGATAATGTTATAATTTTCTGCAGATGTGATACCCAGCTCACTACTGTCGACGACAAGGTATAAACATACCTCATGATACTTCGTCTTGTATCATGATCACCAACGAAATCCGCATCCACGTATCCCTGCAGTACCAAATCATTCCTCCTGAAACATAGTGGCTTGTCCGTAGTCCCTCTCAGGTAACACAATATCCACTTCACGGCCTCCTAATGTTGCTTCCCTAGATTGCTTGCAAACCTTCTCACAACTCCCACTACATGGGCAATATCCGGCCTCGTGCAAACCAGCGCGTACATAAGACTACCAATGACTGATGAATATGACACTCTGCTCATATGATCCTTCTTTGCATCTGTCTTGGGTGATTGCTCCTCAGATAACTTGAATTGACTTCCAAAGGGTGTGCTAACAACCTTAGCATTCTACATGTTGAACATTTGAAGTATCTTCTTGATGTATTCAGCTTGACTCAACTTTAACGTCCCTTTAGCTTCATCTTTACTGATTCACATCCTAAGAATTTTCTTCACTGCACCCAGATCCTTCAAATCAAAATCCTTCGCCAACTACTTCTTCAAGTTGTTTATCTCCTCTAAATACGGTCCTGCAACTAACATGTCATCAACATATAGTAATAACACGATATAGCTATATTCGAACCTCTTGAAGTAGCAGTAATGATCTGAATTGCATCTTCTATAGCCATTTCTCTGCATAAAGTTATTAAACTTCTTATACCACTGTCTCAGATCCTGTTTCAAACCGTGCAAACTCTTCTTGAGCTTACACACCATCTCTACCTTATCTTTTTTCAATGAAGCCAACATGTTGCTTCATGTAGATTTCTTCATTCAAGTCACCATGAAGAAAGGCAGTCTTCACATCTAACTGTTCAAGGTAGATATCTTCTACAGCTACTAAGCTCAACACCACTCTAATGGTTGTAAGCTTCACAATAGGGAAAAATATCTCGGTATAATTCACTCATTCCCGCTGTTGGAACCTCTTTACGACTAATCTGGTGTCACGTCCCGCTTCCCAAAATACCGGGGAATCGGAACGTGAACAAGCCCGCGACGTATTAGACTGAGAAGAGATAAGTGCTAGACCCCGTCTTCTCAATCTAATACGCTAAGCGTCTGGAAATAAATACAATACGAAGTCACAGGTCCCCGATCACAATCAGCAAGAATATAATAGACAACTCAGAATAAAATAATACATATCACAAATGAATATCATCCACAACATAAAATACGGGTCAAACATGCCCTTATACAAATCTGAACAAGAGAATATTGGAAAGATACAATATACATCGTTCAAGTAGGAATGGAAAGAACTACAAAAGTAACTGGAACCTTCAAAGAATAGGCTTCGACTCCTTCTTCTGCTCCGTCTACATGGCACTTCTGTTGAGAATCCTCTGGCTCCTGCTGAACCTGTTCTTCTCCTAAGTCTGACGTACACCAGAGAAAACAGGTGTACGTCAGGTGCATGGCGCACGGCAAGACCAAACCCCACAAAGAAAAATAGAACGAACGAAAATCCAATGCGAAAAACAATACTATAACCGAAATGACAAAAGAACGTGCAACTGGAATCCATAAATCAACATGAAAACACTACTAAATCATGATAACATAAAGCATCCAAAATCGATCAGGTAACGAGATCATGCAGCTAGCGATCAGAAATCATCCAAGTCATAAGGTCATACACTAGATGAAATTAATACTTAAAAATCTACAACTCGAGACATAGTACGTCGAGCGAAATAATCCAAACAAGGAAACCCTCATGTATATACCATATGTCTCGAATTATAAATAAATAAATATTAATCCCGATCTATGTACGAAGAA